ACCGAAAACTCTAGTTGCGGGAAACGCTGGGAGACACTGACTTCCATGCTGAACTCTTGAATTCTATCCCGAACCCTCAGCCTAGGCTGGCGGAGACCTGCACCATCGTCTTGGCGACGGCAGGCACTGCAGGTCGCCGCCGCTCTCGGCGAGAACATTCCTGCCAAATGGAAATACAGCAGGGACGGCCCATGGTTTATGCGATGCTGATAGTGGTGAACTATTGCTAGACATGGCCCAAGGCTCAGTTTTACATAGTGCGAGTGAGCTCCGCTGGTGTCATCGTGACAACCGCCTTACCCCTCACTACAAACACACGAGACCCGACGCAGGGGGTGGAGAATCCGCAAGATACACCGCACGAACATGGTGTTCAATTCGTCGCGACTACGGCACAGGTAGTGGCGATCCAAAATTAGGGCAACCCCTGGAGGCTTCTTTTGTCACATTCCTACTGGGGAACGAAATCGCCAGTCGATTTCGTTCGTTCCTCGGGGCCGACCTAGCGTCTGAAGATGACCTTCTCGTGCGACGGCGCTGCTGTCATTTACGGAGGGTGCCGGAAAAAACTCTTGACGAAAGCACTCCACCTTACGCGCTCCAAGAGAATAACGAGGACATACCAACCACTCACCGAGGTTCAACGTGATCTCCTTCCTGTACTCCGTAGGCTTTGTCGCGGTCCGGGCTGTGTGTGCTGAGAACTCTGGCCCCAAAGGTAATGCTCTCGTGGCATGCGCGCATGGCGCGGCGAGTTTTTTTGTGCTGGCCCCTTCCCGGGTACCGTGTCTGCTGAGCTACCATGTACGGAGCCCCGTGGGGCCTTTTTTTTTGCTTTTTCCACCGCGTGCAACCCGGGTGGACAAAAAAAATATAGTGGCAACCTTGGGCAACCAAGACTCCCTCACACGCACGGTGGAACACCGCGACAAACGCGCATCGTATCCCTGACCCCAGGAAACCACGCGAGAAGGTCAGAACGCACGATTAGCACGATCTCCGTGCAGTTACCTGTGCTTTTCCCATACACTCAAAAGTATTGCCTGGGATCGCTTGGTTGGTCCGGTCGGTCACACCGGATCACCGATCATGTTTCAACGTTTCTCGTCCATGTTCTGACTTCAACGCACGTGATACATGCGTGCATGCATGGTCTAATGTACACCAAGGCCTCGGAACTATCACCATGTATAAGAAGCAGGAAAGCAAGGCAGCGAGAGACGAACGCGGGCTTTGTGCTTAGTTGGTTTGCCGCAGCAGCCGTGTCGTGCGTTCGTAGTCGTGGTTCACCAGATTGGTGCGAAGCACACTCCCGCTGCTGACCTCGCTGCGGCAAGTACTCTTTGATACGTCTCACGCGCGCACACACGCAAGGATTGAAGACGGAGGGTTGCTGCTGTTGAAGGCGCCCTAACTGTATGCGCTAGCTCGTTCTTTTACCGGGAGCATGGGACGTCGGTCCATCGACCCATGCGTCAACAGTCCCCACCCGTGCTTCGGAAAAATGCGCCAAGAGCAAGAAAGTTGTTCCGTTCGTTGTTGAAGGGATGTCGGAGACAGCTGTTGTCTCATCCCATTCACGTCTCTCGGACAACGCCGTTTCGCCAGCAGCAGTCTCTCACTCAACGGATAGAAGAAGGCGATGCCGCTTTGATCCTTGCGTACTCGCGAAACCAGACGACAATATGAGACCGCCTATCTAGCCGAATATAATAAGACTTTTCGACCTTCTGTCTCCGTAGTAACATGCCAAAGATCATCTACAATAAAACATGTGCTCCGCCATCTAGGCGGATACATCAACCAACATAACCAACAACTGGACGGGAGATGAGACGGCGACGCGGACGGCCGCCGGGTACAAACATCGCAACCGCGGGACATTGCTTGTAAGTTTTTTTTTCTTCCGGAGAGCAAAGATCACAGTTACTCACTATCTCATGGATAGCATCCATAGACCATGCAATATGCAATGCATAGACTAGACTAGAGTTTATTTCCGATGCCAACAAGTTACAACCCAAAAATCTCTCGAGGAGATTCCTCGTCGTTGGGAGTCTTGCAGGGAGAAGCTCCACCATTTTTCTCCCGTAGGGTTGTACCCAGCCGACGTCACCAGACTTTGATGGTCAGGACTCCACACCCACCCGCGTACCGTAGTAGCCATGTCTCGGGCGGGTGCCTGAATTGTAGGCATGTCCTTCGGCTTCAGTCAGGACCAAATCAAAGGCGTGACGAAAGGAATTCATGTATGCACTTCTTCCCTCGCTCCTCGACAAGCTTTTGCTTAGACATGGGTTGTAGCGAAGGGGGGGGTCTTTCTGGCGAGCAGGGCTAGACTCACCCTCAAGGGATGACCGAAACCTTCTTGCTGCTGCGCATCCGCCGCGAGGCGTGCGTGTGGTGGTGGAGTTGGGTCGGCACTGATGGG